TGCAGCAACTATCAGGAGCCCCAAGGTGAAAATTAGGTCTTGTAACGTCATTGAGCTTGTAATAGGTTCGTTCTTTGTTTGCAGTGCTTTTGTTCGATTGGGTTGGTAAGCGTTCCTAAATACTCAGAAACTTAATCGGTTAAACTCGCCACACAACATATACAGCTACATCCTGATGAACCGATAGATACCTACCTCCATACACTCTACAGTCACTAAGAGGGGCGTGGCGGGTTGTACGGACAGCCCTTTTTGGAGGTGGCGGTCGTACATCCCCCCTAATCTCCGCGACCTGATGCTTGAACCTGGGTTTGCGCACATAAAAAGATCACTTGTGTATCAAAACTAGGTTTTGGTGCAGCAGTAGCACGATGTTTGCTCGCCATCAAATCACATTTGATTGTGGTACTGGGAGGCGCATCCAAAACATGTTGTAGACGGTTGTGGAAAAGCAGACCGTATCTGTCAGCGCACGTAATTCCAAACTCTCACTGCTGTTACTTCAAATATGTAGTGGGAAGCGATTTCATAGCTTTAGATTTCAACTGAAGAGAACTCTTAAATAGATAGCGAATGCACACCTGAGCGAAATCGCTAGCGCTGATAGCGGATGACGTATCAACGACCAAATAGACATCATAATTAAGTGATGCCAAAGTGCAAGGCACTGTGATGTCCTGAGTTGGGAGTGGCTGAGGAGGTGCCGCCGTTGTCGTAGGCATGCCAATGTTGCTGAATGCCAACTTCGAGTGAAGGAAAGTATCTACCTTTGGAATTTGAAGGAATAGAGGTAAGAACTTACGGGCATCCATTCTGGTAAAGCCACTGGTCGGCGATTGCGAGATATCGCTGTTAACCGAATAGCCAAGACATTTTACTGCAAACAAAGAACGAGCCTATTACAATAACTTCAAAGACTTTACGTTACCAAGCCTAATTTTCACCTTGGCTGACCTACCTATTATAGTTGCTTGCCAGCGCACTGCTTCCCTTACCGATTTGAGCGAGTCCAATCCGAGACCTCAAAAAAGAAGTTCGCTTCTAGGCTTGAAGTTTCAAGATTGAAGATTAAGATCAAAGAAGACTAAGAGAGAAGATTAAAATCGTTACCATGTTGTATTTCTTTTGAATTTGTTGAGGTAGAGAGCTACCGATCACAGCAGTACCAGTCCATCGTCACCGCGATATCAGCATCATTAACCGGAAAATTTCCTTCCAATATGAGCAGCTTACGCATCAGCTGAGATCACTGCCATTATATGTTTGTATCCGTTGCGGAATCCACTCGAAGCCGTCACTTGGGTCTCTTCCAATGTCAACGCCCTCAAAATATGAAAGTATAAGACTGTATGGATAATGTGCTAGTCTACATACTGATAAAGCTGTCTGTCTTTCGTATTGTCATGAGTGATAGAATTGATCGAGTTGATGAGTGTTGTACGATTGTTGCTTGACGACAGGCTTCCATAGGACTTAGCCGTGGTAGCATAGGTGTAGATGGTGACCTGAAAAGGAACGTTCTAAGTGAGGAAAACAGTCATACCAGTCCCATAATCAAGGAGTCGGACACCAATGATAAGGACACCAAGCCCAAAGAATAAAGCTACCCAGGAGCGCGGCTGAAGCTGCACATAGTCGCAGGTAAGTGCCAGCCGTTTCAGTTGTTGTTTCCGCGTAGGAATTGATCTTGCAGAAGTTCTGAGTGGGCACGAGCGCTGCATCATTCGGAACGTAGGCAAGCCAAGCACCCACTACTGTGAGAAAAACTGTGCATTGCGACCACAACATCGGTCTTCCCTCATCAGGATTTCTAACAAAAAGGCAAAGCTCAAAACTAGTAGTAGAGGAAGGACCACTATGGAACGGATGCCTTTATCAGCTTCGCTAAATATTTCCACCTTGCCGCTGAGTCTTGCCAAGTGTTCGAGGGGTAGATCCAGTAACACGCTTACTGACATCATGAACTTTCGTGCATGATTCTATTGCGAAACCAGTAAAGCAGACAAATAGAGGACAGCAGCTGCTAAAGCATGGAAGCGTACAAGAAACATACGGCGAGCTAGCAAACGGGCTTTTTCAGAGGAGGGGACTTCGGGAGAGTGAGCCGTTTATAATCCATGAGAAGCTGGAATGTGTGAAGTCACAGCGATCATAGACGACGAGAGAGTGCGGAGAAAAACAGAACATTGACGCGTTCAAGAGGATTGAGTTCAAATTGTACGTAAACTCAGTAACACAGACCAGCGCAATTCCCCTTCGGAAGGGGCCTCAAGGGAGCTCAAGGATTAGGGCAGTGATACGAATACGACATGACCAACGAAAAGGATGGAGCTCCTGTTATTACCCATCCCTTTTTGGGACGCGCGGCGCATTCTACTTCCATTAAAGGCACATTGC